CTTGCAGTCCACATCTCCAACAAACAGTCTCACTGTTTTGAAGTCCTATATTTTGTCTTCTCCTCTGGGTATATGTCCTGGAACTAGGTTCTTCATACCTAATCGGTTCTGGACAAAATGACACAGGTGAGGGTGGTGGCAGGTAGTGATAACCCTGGTAGGTTTGATATATCTCACTTCTCAGGCTCTCATATTCTAGAATTCTTGAGATAAGTGATGGTACATCCTGGAAATCAGTCTTTCTGATATACAGGCGGTAGTCTGGCAGTAAATTCCGGTATAGCCAAGTCAATTCTTGTGCTTTATCAAGAGTGCCTTGTCTTCGGATTAGTGTCTGCATGTCTATCACATAATCTCTAGCTGGTTCTTCCACTGTCTGTTTCCTCTGGATGATATCAATCTGGGGCTGTTCATGATATCGAAACAGAAAGTATGCTACCTGGAAACATTCCTTGAAGGCTGGCCAGGAATTCCAATACACTTTGTTACATCTGTACCATAACAGAACTCTTCCTTTTAACAAGTCAGGTAATACATCCAGGAGCTGGTCTGGTTCTACTTTCTGCACGTTTCCAATTTCTTCTAGCCTTTCCAGGAAATCTACAGGATCTGTTGTTCCATCAAATTGCAAATTCCAGTGATAGGTATTCAATCCACTAGAATAACACAGGACAGGAATTTCAGGACTATCAGGAGGTATGTCAGGACTCTCTAGAGTTGTTTCAGGATCCTCTGGACATGTTACAGGACTATCTGGATGTGTCTCTGGACTACCTGGAGTTGGTTCAGGACTATCGGGAGGGTCATGTGGTTCAGGAATATCTGGTGAATCTGGAGGTGGTTTCCTCACAAGATTCTCAGGCCTAAGGGCTAATATTTCAGGAACTTCCACCCTCAAGAACCACATCAATCGGTTTTGTAGCATCTCCACAGGACCTTCAGTTTTTAGACCATACCTTTTCAGTTCTCTGATTAATTCTGATTTGTTCAGGTTATATACCCAACTCACTCTTGGGTTCAAACCTGATCTGTGCTCTCCGTAGCTCTCTGGACCTGGATTCCTGGATTTTCGGAGGTTCTCACAACCTTTACATATTATATCATCAACTATATCAGGGCCTAACCTTTTATTCAACTGGTTGAATGAGCTGGATTGTCAGGATGATTATCAGGATGAAATGTATTCGGAAATTAACGGATTTGTCTCTCTTGCTGTCTCAAAATTTAGTGACTCTCATGACAAAAAAAAAAACATATACCTAGACTCAACAAATAACTTCTGGATATCTGGATTTTGATTTCATTTATAGCTCAAGTTGACTGGAACTGTTCTCTACAAAAATCAGGTTCAAATTTATAATCAACTCTCAAAAAACAAACTATACAGGTACTTTTCTGGAAAAATGCTATGATTCTGATTCCAAACAATGAAATACTGGTTCAGGAAAAAAAAATGTACTGGACTTGTATCAAGCAACTTTTCTGTTGAACAGGACTGGACTATTTTCTGATTCAATAACCAAGAAGTCCCTGCTCGGGCGCCATTTGTAAGGGTCTTTTATTCTGGGGCCCTTACTTTGACGCTCTGTTCAGGACAGGAGACTACTCTGGTATTTGACAGGGGGGGATTCTCGAGCGCCAGATTTTTGATAAAGGTGATTTACTTCACCTACTCCTCCCAACTTAGTCGGGAAGGAGGCCCACAGTAGCAACAGTGGAGAAAGGTACAGGAGGTATACCTACCTCGGTACCCACAGTATAAACCAGGGGTCAATGGTATTGAATCGACCTGGAATCAATAAGTAGCCAAGGGAGTGTAGGCTTTAATTACAAACCCTGGGTCTAGCCTGGAATACTGGTTGCAATTTCTGGTCTGGATAATTACAGGAATCAAAGCAAATTATCTCTCAGGTCTTTGGTATTTTAAGGTTAGGTCTGGAAAATTATCTATTCAACTATTTCATTATTTCTACCTGGAGAATCGAATTAAACAGATTCAATTTCTATTTATCTTTCCTTTTCCTTCGATTTTTCCTAATTTTCTAATATCGGATTTTTAGTGAGGTTAATTAATTATATAGTTCATGAAACATAGAACACCGCCTGACGGGATACAAAGCACAAAGACACCGGTGCACAGGACTGGATTTGTCAAGGGAAAGAAGAAGAAGAGTTGTTAACTGGCTTGTCAGTGTCAGTCGTCAGTCAATAATAATATTCTGCAAATTTGACAAATGAAAATATTGAAAATCACTAAATAAATTATTGAACTATTTGGAACTGAAAACAATGACAACAGAGAAGGAAATATGAAATATGCAATCACAAAATCCGTTTATTCAATTTAGAGTTCTGGATTCTTTATACAGGTCGGGTGAGTGTCGGTGTGAAAAACAACAGGAATGAAATGAGGCTATAAACAGGATGAATAACACTGGTGAAAAATATACAAACTTACATGTGTAACAGGAAATCACTATACAATACTTTTTTACACTGGTTTTGAATGAACTATGAAAGCACTAAAAGATCAGCAAGAGAATCAGGCGCTTGAAGAGCAACGGAGATCAGGTAGTGTAGACTTGTCGAGAAGAGCTTAGAGAGTGTCGAATCCTTGGCTGTTTTCAGTATTTATGCACTGCTTTGGCCTTGGCACAAGGACAAGTAAATCTGGAATCTCATTGGTCACAACTCCCACCTTGTCATGGCTCATGGCCATGGCCACTAAATCTGTCCTTGAAAAACACATGTGCACCTCCAACACAAAACGCGGAAAAAATAATATTACACCCTAAATGGGCACAGGAACAGGATCTACTACCTTTGCTTATGCTACTGAATGAATTTGGCTGGAAAATATTCAATAACAACAAAGTTATGAGCATTTAAACATTCATCATTTCAACTGATAAATAATTCAATCAAATTTCATATCATAAGCAAAGGGTTGAAAAATATTGAAGTCTTTAGGGTTGTAATGATGTTCATCAGCTTTTACTATCAGGAAAAGCTGTGGGAAGTCAGGAATCAATGCATTACTCAGCTCTCTCAGGTTTTCAGGTTTCGAGCTTTCGAACAGGTGAAATTCAACTAGAATCAGGCTCAGGTACTTAGATTTTGATCAAAACCAGTCTAGTAATGAAGCTGGTCAAAAACACTTCATTACAGTACGGTCTGCTAATGTGCGGTCTGTCATTCTGCGATTCTGACGAATTACGGTCTGTGTTGTTATGATTCTGACGAAATATCATTCCGCTGTGATGTTGGTTTGTTAGTTTTCGATTCTGTATAATTGCGGATCTGCGATATTGCTATTATAGAAAAATACACATCTGCGCATTTGCAATCTGTTATTGTCTGGTATGCTCATGTACAGTTTACAAAATACGGTTTGAGGGATTGCGGTTCTGTGCATCTACAGTAGAGATAAATACGATTCCTGTAAAATATTGTTCTGTTAAGTTACTGGATTGAAAATGTATATTCTGATGGATTACGGATCTGCGATTTTACATTCTGGTGATTTGTGTGTTCCCCTGATTCTTAGTGCCCCTGGTACTTGAATTCAGTATATCGAATAGATGGTCGAATTTCTCAAGCATATTGGCAGTTCCTCTAGCAGAAGCATCCATCTCACCATTTGCCATATATGTTGATGTAGGTACTTATTGATATATATGGTGTTCACAAAATAAATACATGATTCGACTATATGTCAATGGTCTCTACCATACAAAATGATGGACTAATAACCTGAAACCACTGTTGAACTGAAAACTTGTGTAGCATATTTCACTCACATTCTTTGAAAATTGGTTGGATATACATGGGCTTCGGTCAACTTGGGAATCATTCTAAGGTCACGTTCTTTCTCTAAATGGTATACTTTCTCTATATCTTTCCATCTTTCTTCTTGGCCTCCAAACTCCACTGTATACTTCATTAAAATATTCCTTACTGCTTTCATGAGATGTGTTGTATCGAAAATGTAAAATAGTTTCTTCCCATCAACCTGGAATACAGAATTATTATTATTTATGCCTAATTGTCTGGTTTGATGAAATTCGAGCCCATATCAGAGATAAGAGCACGAACGTCAATCCCTGCTTTATTCATTTTCTGGATACAGTCAGTTATGATTGTCCTCAAATGCTCGCCTTTGCAAGTAGAATTCAAGAAGAAATAAGCTAGTGGTTGTTTCCAGTTCTCATTGATACCCCTTTCTATCAACACCAGAGCATTTTTTGCAGGTTTATATGATTTTCCAAATCCTCCAAGAAGACATAAATATTGGGTATATACTGATTTATGTAGAGTTTATCATTTGAAGTTTGTATTTTACAAATTCAAACTCACCTAAATCTTCAAAGCGAATGATTTCATCTCATTTTATATTATAATAATAATTTGCCTTCAATGATACTTTATCCATTGTGAGAACACCTACCTGTAGAAAAATATGATTCTATGCCTAAACAGATGAAATTATGTATGATTTCAAAGTATAATAAATAAATGTACTGTGCATCATATAGTAGGTAGTATAGTAGTACCTTTTCCATCCATTTTTCTTTCTAGGTGTTCAATCATCATATCACTCAATCCTGGAGGTTGCTGAACATTTCCAGTCATCCTTTTCAGAGTTGAAATTGAAGGAAAGTGATAATTTTGCACCAAACGTTTGTACATTCTTGCACTATGACAATACACAGATAAAGCATGTCGTTTGAACTCTGGTGTATATCTTCTTCCCTTCAATTTCTTGTCTTTGAGGTCACTGACATGTTTTGCCATATTCCCAAAGAATTCTGGAAAATGTATGTCACATGCCTTCTTGAAAGATTTCTTGGAAATGTTCTCTTCATCATGATATGAAAGTTTTCGCTTCCTGTTTTCTTTCACTACTCTCTTCATGTCCATATTTTGATCCTGATCAATAACAAAATAAATCAGTGAAATGTAGGAAATAGTTTTCAATATACCACATTTATCTTCTTGATTTATTTGATTTTTCTTGGTGTGTTAGCTGAAAGTTGCTTTTCTGTCTGCACTTGAGAATCAGACTTCTGCACAAGTGTCTGCGTTCCTGTGTTCACCATATCTGGCTCTGTTTGGGTACCAATGCTTCTTGCTCTTGTGTTCATCCTATCTTCAGAGCTATCATCTATTTCCATAAAATGACCTACTTCTTTATTTTCATCACTGCAATATGAATGCTCCTCATGTACGGAGCCTGAGAAGGATACCTATAAGATCAAGTGAAAGTATGTAGAATACAATAAAATCAGGACCATTCCAACACCAAGTTCAGTGTAGGAACAGCATTTTCTTTAAATTCGTACTTTTCCATCAAATGATCCTCAAAAAGTAGACTGCAATTTCTCATGCTTCCATACAATTTCACAGGATCAGTAGCCATGATCAATTCATCATTGCACGCCAGTTGCCACGAATTCATTCTTACTTCTTGGGTAGGATTAGGGAGCCTAAAAAATCTCAATGGTGTATGTTGGTTATTATTTAAGTACTTACTCTAGCAGTCTTTGACTGCATATTATATTCCTCCAGGTCTCCTCATTGCCAAGTTTATCTTCAAAAATATATCATTCCTATCTCAGCAACCCTAGACACCAGAAAAAATCAAATATACTTACACTTTTACCACAATTTTGTGAGGTTATGTAAAATGATAACAAGAAACGAAAAATAATGATAATTCCACTGAAACTCAGCTGAAAAACACAAGTCTATAAAAATAATGATCGCTTTTGTGCAGATTGAATCCACATTTATGACTGTTGAGAAATTTGCCAAATCTTTGAGTAGAAATTAGTAAACATACAGCTCACATCTGATCGTAGTAAAAATTCAAGGTCATTTGTCAGTTTTCCCGCGCATTTGAAATGGAGCTTCTTGGTGACTAACCTACTATTCTTTCGATGATTCCTCCCAAGAAAATAACATTCCTCGAAAATGTAAAATGATCACCATGATAATCGAAGATTGAAGGTCGTGTGAGATTCATGCAGCCGCCATATTATGCTGCTAAATCAGCTATCAAAAATCTAGCGTAAAGAAATATCAACAAAACAGTATTGGAATCATTCTACGTACCTGAAAAATATCTTCAACCTAACACGAAACCACTGCTGATCTCTTTTTGCGGAGAAAGGTAAGGAAAGCTATCAAGGTAATTTCGATTTATCCCAACATTTTAAGGACGAAGTTATCCCTTTGGCTGTCGATTTCAGAAGAAGAAGGAACTCAAGCTCATGTCGTCTTCAAGATGTTCCGAATATATCGACCTCTTTCGATTTTGTCGTGAACGTAAAACTTATGATAATACAGATCCCGAATCGAGCAATATGCATCTCAGATAGCTTCGGCTATTGAACGCTAGATGCTAGATGTTTTCTGAAATTCTACAGAATCTGATTTTCTTATAATTAAACATAGATGGACGATGATAATAATTATAGGATATTCAATATAAATGTAACGATTGTATCGTTACAGGCCATAGTGTATTTACACTCCTCAATCATTGTAGTCTTCCTGATGATAGAAATAAAGTTTTCCGAGAGCTTGGATAAACTTTGAAGAGTATTGAGACATGTAGCAGCCTGTAGTTTTTGTATTTGAAGAGATAAAATTTTGAAATTCACAGGGGGTATATAATAAATGGTAGCGCACTTTACGAACTTTACGACAATTTTTTCCAACCACCTGTTTGACCAGAAGTGACCCCAACCACCTTTTTTTTTAAAGTCACCCTGTACATTTCTTCAGTCTACCTTTCTCGCCTTGAAATTCTCTATCCAACCATGTATCATAAAGTGGCATTCATTTCTTAATTCGCTGTTGAATTGCTTTTTATTTAAAAAGAATAAGTTGGCTGTGACATGAATTCGATGATATATCGACACTTGGTGAGCTTTGAAATTCAAAGATCATTGGTAAACCGATATTATTCAAAATGTTTTGATATTCTGATCAATGTCTGCAGGTTGTCAATATCTTGTTTGAGTCAAGATGAAAACCTTCGAAAATAACTTATGATATTGAGGAATCTAAGATAGGAACATATTTTTTCGAATTCAGCTACTCGTACAGAAACTATCTGTCTTTTATTCTTGCCATGTACCTATCAAATGATCTTTCCATTTGGAATAATAAAACTAACATTGTTCATTTTATACGATGATCCACAGGGCTATCAGTCTATTTTTCCATAATTATTTCACTTAGTAGGCGGTTTACCTACACAAAATGTTTTATGTGTTTGACAGTTACTCGATTGCATCAATAATTTTTCTTCTTCATTTGTGTGTTGATAAAATTGCATATTATCAATAGAGACGGATAATTTATTCAAGAAACGAAAAAGTCGATATGTTGTTGATATGCAATTTCAATCAACACACAAATGAAGAGGAAAAATTATTGATGCAATCGATTAACTGTCAAACACATAAAACATTTCGTGTAGGTACACTGCCTACTAAGTGAAATAATTATGAAAAAATAGACTGATAGCCCTGTGGATCATCGTATAAGAGCAACAATTTTAGTTTTATTATTCCAAATGGGGAGATCATATGATAGGTACATGGCGAAAATAAAAGACAGATAGTTTCTGTACGAGTAGCTGAATTCGAAAAAATATGTTCCTATCTTAGATTCCTCAATATCATTAGTTATTTTCGAAGGTTTTCATCTCGACTCAAAGAAGCTATCGACAACCTGAAGACATCGATCAGAATATCAAAACATTTCGAATAATATCGGTTTACTAATGATCTTTAAATTTCAAAGCCTACCAAGTGTCGATATATCATCGAATTCATGTCACAGCCAACTTATTTTCTTTGAATAAAAAGCAATTTAACAGCGAATTAAGAAATAAATACCACTTTGTGACACATGGTTGGATAGACAATTTCAAGGCGAGAAAGATAGACAGAAGAAATGTACAGGATGACATTTAAAAAAAAAAGTTGGGGTCACTTCCGGTCAAACAGGTGGTTGAAAAAAATTGTCGTTAAATTCGAAAATTGCGCTACTATTCATTATATACCCCCTGTGAATTTCAAAATTTTATCTCTTCAAATAAAAAAACTACAGGCTGCTACATGTCTCCTGTGTCACCCGGTATATAAATATTCCATTGTTTTTCTCCAAGTTTCCTTGGCATAGAGTATGCTTTGACTCTGAGGACCTTTCACAGTGTGCCGCCAGACATTCCAACCGTTGAGTGTCGAATGCCCGAAATCGTCTTCCGTCAACCCACTATCAGACGAATTTAGCTTGGTCTCAAAACAAATAAAGCTAACGGTCCTGATGGAATTCCACCCATTATCCTCAAAAAATGTGCACCAGAATTAACACCGATTCTCTGCAGGTTGTTTACCGTCTCTTACAGGTCGGGTATTTTTCCATCATGCTGGAAGACAGCTGGAGTCCAACCAATCCCCAAAAAAGGAAACAAGAACCTGCCCAGCAACTACAGGCCCATTGCCCTGTTATCAGTAATCTCCAAAGTGATGGAGAAATCCATCAATATTGAGCATTTCAAATATCTGGAGAGCTCAGGAATCATCAATGATAGACAATACGGCTTTCGCCACCGAAGATCTACTGGAGATCTAGTTGTCTACGTCACCCATTGATGGCAAGTTTCATCAGAAAAACACGGGGAATCTCTAGCTGTCGCGATGGACATATCGAAAGCATTCGACCGTGTTTGTCACGAAGGACTCCTCCACAAACTACCATCATACGGCTTACCACCTCAGCTATGCCATCTCTTATCGTCTGATAACAATGGCTTCAATTTCGGCATTCCACAAGGATCAATATTGGCACCAACATTATTCCTTCTTCATATCAATGATCTGTTGGGAGTAACAACCCACCATCCACATTTTTGCAGATGATAGTACCCTCCATACTGCGTTCTCTTCCAGAATTCCCATTTCTTCCCAGGAAACTAAGAACTCACGGCCCAGGCGGGCCAATGCTGTCAACGAAGACCTTGCTGAAATCACAGCCTGGGGAACCAACAACCTAGTTGAATTCAACGCCACCAAAACTCAAGCCTGTATTTTCTCTAGAAAGGCGAAACTCAGTATGTCCGACATTGTGATGTCTGGCACCACCATCCCCACCAAGCCCACCATATCTATGCGCGGTATTTCCATCAGCAACACCCTTTCATGGAATAATCATGTCAGATCCATCGCAAAAGCTGCTTCACAAAAACTCAGATCCTTGTTCCGTGCGAAAAGCTACTTCACACCACCAACAGCTTCTCATGATCGGAAAAGCGCAGATACGGCCTGTTCTAGAATACTGTTATCACATATGGGGTTCAACACCAAATCATACGCTGATGCTCTTAAGCTCTGGTTTTCTCGAAAGCGGTACCGACAAATTGCGACCGCAATAATGCGACGAATGACGTCAGATTGCGGTGGGAAAATCGGGGTTCTTAATTGCGGCAATCAAATGTGTAACTTCAGAAAGCGTCGCCAGTACCGTTTTGCGTTAAAAACAAGCGACACATGGACGATCTCGATGTTGCTCTTTTGGTAGTGCTTGCCGAGGAATCAGAGGAAGAGATTCATAGAAGAAGTGAATCTGACCTTTTTAAAAAAAGAACTGCTGAGGGTGCCTACCAAATTTTGATTTGTCGTCATGTATACACTAACGAAAATAAGTTCAGGGAATATATTCATTTGACGCCGGTCTTATTTGTTTACGTCTTAGGATATACCGGGTGACACAGGGTATCGGGCCACCCCTGTAACTTCTGCATTCGTCAATGGATTTCTCTGGAATTCGGTACAGTTATATAAGCAATTATTTCGGATTTGATCACATTACAATCCAATATGGCAGACTTCCGGTATTTCTGGAAATGCCAGCAACTTTGTTTTTTCAAATGAAACACCCTGTATATTTTTACATATTCAAGTTTAACTGGTCGAAACAAGTGCAATCTCTATTTCAAATGTAATTTTTTCGAAAAAAATTGAATTGAAATTGTTTATTCATTTTACCTCGTGGATGAATGAGATTTGGTCAAGACTATTCACAATGAGTCACACATAACAAAATAACATAATTTCATCACTTTTTGATCAAAAATTATTTTTTTTTCAAATGGAACTCCTATGGGCCACCTACCCGTCTCTCTAGAACATACATTAAGGAACAAAATGACATATCATTTTCGTTTTTCGCTGCAGTAACAAATTGTATACATTCAAAAATCAACAACTAGTTTATGAATTTCCTTGCAGTTAGAATAATTTTTCAACTAGGTAGGCTGTGGAATGAATGACATTTGACATCAAGATTGCATTTGTTTTGACTTTTGACATTTCCAGAAAAACCGGAAGTCCGCCATATTGGATTGTAATGTGATCAAATCCAAAATAGTTGCTTATATAACTGTACCGAATTTCAGAAAAATCCATTGACGAATGCAGAAGTTACAGGGGTGGCCCGATAACCTGTGTCACCCGGTATAGAAGAAGATCTTTGTTCAAAACCAACAAAT